AAGTCAACTTACAAACCGTAAAACTTTGGAAAGTCATAACTTCTGTCTCGGATATCCGAATGAAGTAATTCTTTTTTTGATTCCACATAACTTTTCGAGATCTACACAATGAAGCCTCATTTGATATATTTATATATCACAAACACAACTCAGATTTGCAACAACGATACTATAAAGATGACACCAAAGTGGATTAACTCATCTATAAATAAGATGGCACCAAATATTCTACTAAATACAAAACGCAATCAGCTCCTGTTAAATACAAAATGCAATAAACTCCTATAACATTAAATTCAAAATTCAAATAACCTCCAGCAAAATTTATTTGAATTGGCGATAATCTGTAACCAACTCATAAAATTACAATACAATCAGCTTCTATTATATACAAAACACAATCAACTCCTATTAAATACAAAATGCAATCAACTTATTGCAGGTTATTTGAATTTTGAATTTAATGTTATAGTACCATTATTGGGCGTGAATGAGTGCAATATATTGTAATTAGGTTCAAAATGGCAACTTATTTGTAATTAATTATTAAAACATATACAAATTTATATAATATTCTACCAAGTGTTTAGAATATTTATTTATTTATTTTCTTTATTAATACATATTTTTTAAATTAATTTTTGAGTTTAAATCATAAATTAAATCTTTATTTTGTTTTTCTTATTAATAATAATTTTTTAAAATTTTTTGGTAATACACTATATAATATAATTATTGCAAATTTGAATCGTGTTTGTGAGAGATAAAATATATCAAATGAGGTGTCATTGCGTATATCTCGAAAAGTTATGTGGAATCAAAAAAAGAATTACCTCATTTAAATACCCTAGTCAAAAGTTATGGCCTTATAAAGTTTTACGGTTAAACAATTAATTTTTTGTGTCACGTGTCAACACCAGACGATTCACGCCTAATTTAGGCGTGAATGCACTGGTAGTCGCGCCTAATTTGGGCGTGAATAGTCACGCATAATTTGAGCGTGAATAAGTGTAATAAATTCGTAGATAATTTCGAAACAGCTATGTATTCGTAATTATTTATTAAAATAGTAATATTTTAATTTATTTGCCTTCTGCAAATAGTTAATTATCCTAAATTATATATATGCGCTTAAATTGTATACAAAGATTAAGAAAATGAATATTTTACATCGAACTAATCATTGATCATGGGATAATATATATATATATATATATATATATATATATATATATATATATATATATAGGGTAGGATATTCTTACACTGGTATAAGAGTTAGAAGTCTTACCCTTAATCTTGATCATTGATTCACTTCTATCCAATGGCTCACATTATTAAAAAAACTTGAGCCTTAGATATAAGTGGGATTAACGGACAATATTAAGAATGTAACTTACACTGATATAAAATTATCCTGACCTTATATATATATATATATGAATACGAGGTAGGATCCATTGACATTAGAGTCAAATTTGAAATTTGACAACTAATCTGAGAGGCATTAGATCAAAAAAGATCAATGGTGTCACATGCTTACAAATCAGAGTCGTTGATCTTTTTTGATCTAACGGCACTCATATGAGGTGTCAAAGGATCCTACCTCATATATATATATATATATATATATATATATATATATATATATATATATGGGTTAGGATCATTTTACATCAGTGTAAGTTACACTCTTAATCTTGTCCGTTAATCTTACTTATATCTAAGGGTTCAAATTTTTTAGTAATGTGAACCATTTGATACAAGTGGATCAATGATCAAGATTGAGTGTAAGACTTATAACTCTTACACGGGTGAAAGAATATCCTGCCACTATATATATATATATATATATATATATATATATATATATATATATATATATATATATATATATATATATATATCATGGAAACGATCAATTAACAACCGAATAAAAATAATAAATTTATATCCTTTTATTAGTTTTTATCATATTTATATCTAATAATTTTAATTTATTAATTATATGGATATAGGTGAAATTTACAATCAATATTTATAAAATTTGTGATACATGTGTAAGTTGATTAATGGTTATCAACTAAAGAGTAGCATGTTATCAAATAAAAAAATCGATTGGTAATGTAATAAGTTATGTAATTTTATTTTATTTTTAAAATACGCAAAATTAAGTAAAATGTGAAGGAGAAGACAACATTATCTCCGGTAAGAAATAAATCTATACCATTTTTCGTGATATTGTTGTCTTCTTTCACAACAGCAAACCACGAAAAAGTTTTAAACACAAGATTTTCTACGAAAGAGATAAATATAAGAAAAAGAGAAACAAAACTTCTTTTTATGACAACTGTTAAAAGAACATCATGAATTTAGGTTTTGGTTTTTTATATTTTTTTTATGTTTATTAAATCTGATTTTATTCTCTCGAAACTAGTAATTTAGTAAACGAAAATTATGTTATTTAATCTGTTATGAAAAATAAGTAAATATTTTAATGAACAGAAATAAAAAAAAATGTACTAAACTACTAATACTCAAATCCATAAAAATGCTCCAGGGGTAGCTTAGTTGGCAGCTGAGCTCCCAAGGGATTGCTTGGTGCAGGGATCAAATCCTGTCTCAAGCAATTTCTTGGAAAATCTTTAGGGGTCAGAGGATAAGCCAAAAAATCTTCGGTTGGGGGATTAGTCTCGTCCTTTCTCCGGTTGCGAAGCTTAGTGCACCCACTGTTACAATGAGGGGCTAGCCCAAACGGGCCGTATCCCGAGGACATGGTGCCCGGATAAGGTTGAATGAGGATACTTCCTGGCAATGTAGCAAAAAAATAAAATAAAATGCAAGAACCGTTATTTTAACTGTATGAATCAAAATTTAAATAAAAATAATAAAAATATTTCTTATTTAAACCTGTTGTTCACAAGAACTTCTTTTTGGTACAAATACATATACCTAAGTGTATCTACTCAAGCGAGGGGGCGTGGCTCAATTTACTTAAATTGCTTAATTGTCCATGAAATAGAACCAATTCAGTTAGGGTAATGTTTTTTTCATGCTATCGAAGAAAGCTTATCTCATGTCATTAATTCTTTGAAATTTGAGCCATCAATTTCTTTTTTTGTCCTTTTTTTATAGTGTGGGACCCACTTGAAAATGTCTCTATAGGAGATAGAGTTATCTTCAATGACATGAAAAAACACAATCTCATTCAGTTATGATACTTCAACTCTATTAAAATAAATTTTTTTTTTGTAACTTACAGGGAATAGAACTATTAAAATAATTTTTTATTTCATATTTAGTTTTCATTCACTTCATAATTTTTAATTTAAAGAGGAAACAAAACTTATCGTTAAAAGATAAAGAAAATGCTGTCAGTTGTTATTTGTTTTTAGCAAAATAACTGTAGAATATATGAATTATAATTTTCATTTATGCTTATAATATAAATAAGGGAAAATTATTTTTCAAAAATTTTATGTAACTGTTTTTTGATTAGTATTTATAGTTGATTTTTTGCCTTATCATTTCTCAGCGATACTTTATTTTTTCTCTCTTCTAATTTTTATCAGAGAATATAAAATAGTTTCAATTTTTTTATGTGGTAGGATAAATATTTTATGCTATAAACATATCTTGTATAAGATTTATATATATTCAAAAACTAAAAATAAAAGAAAATATAACACAAAAATTGAAGTGTCACTGATAAAAGAAAATAACTTTCATGGAAGTTGTTTTCCACAATATAAAAAGTACCAAAACCCATAATTATTTCACGTAAAAGGGCAATAATTTTTTTTATTATACGAGAAAACATTATCTCGTGTAGAGATATAATCAGGTGAGCTTCACAATTAAAAAAAGGAAATATTGACTTGGATTTTAATGAGTGTGTGATAGGATAAAAAATTATCATATAAATGAGAAAAACATTTCTTCTCACTTAGAATAAAATATAAAATTATGTTTTTTGAGATGATAATTTTTTCGTAAAAAAAAAAAAAAAAAAAAAACATTAGCATTCATGTGAGTTGGCTCTCGGACTCTGGTATTTATATAAATTTTGATTCTTTAAACTGATTATGACATTAATTCAAAATGCGAAACAGATCAAAAATAAATATATTTAAATTTTAAACTTCTTCTAAAAATAATGTCAGAATCAAACTGAGAATATTTCCTTTTCACTGTATTATTTTACCGCTTGAAAATAAGATTATGTCAGCGGTTGTTTGTTGGCAATTTTTCCATCCAGAAGCCCAAAAGGGTGGGGAAAAAATGGGCAGAAATGGTAACCTTTTTTTGTTTTTTCTGAAAGAAAAGAGTACAATACAACTAAGCAAGTAAAACAAACTAGTGTAACTGAACCAGTGCTGAATCATACATTTTGGCCTTAAGAGATGAATTTGTTAGGAAGAGTTACGTTATTTCCCTCGCCACTCGCCGCTGATTCACGTTATGATAGGGCACGTACGTTTTATTTATTAAATCATGGGCGGTGAAGTTTGAATTTTAGAAATAACCGTACTTTTTTTTTTAATTGAAAAGATAAATAACTGAAGTTAGTTTTTTTTGAAACAAACCTAAACACCGAGACATAAAAAAAGCAGCAAGGGTACTTTACTCTTCCTCTCCCGCTCCCTTCGAAAACAAAGTAATAAGGAGTGATAAGTAATTTCAATAGTTTGCATTATGTTAAACGTTAAAATTATTTTTATTATGTATAAAAAAAAAAAAGAGAAAAAAGAGAAGAGACTGTTCAAAAGCGTGAAGACAAGGGAGAAGGGTTTTGCAGTACAAAAAGAAAAGAGCCAGAGGCATTGAGAGCATTAACTTACGGACGAGGACAGGGTGAATCTGGGTCAACGCCGTTTGACTCATATAAAGGACAACAATAGGGCTATTTTTGTAATTAACCACCCCCCACTTCCTATGTTTTTTTTTTTTAATGTTCGGCTTTGTCGTTGCTTTTGTTGTGTGTGTGTGTGTGTGTTGGGGTGTGGGATTCTAATTCATTACCCTCTCGTATATATAACTCCTCACTTCGCTTTTACCCTTGTTCATCTCTCCCAGTTACCGAGAGAGAGAGAGACAGCGAGGTTAAGTTAAGGATATTATGAGAACGAGGAGAGGGTTGTGTTATCCTCGAGTGGTTCCACTTCCAAAGATGTGTTCAGACTCTATTGTTAGCCGGAAAAGGCAGAAGAAATCGCCGGAGAAAACCGCCGCCGATTCCAATTTTTTCGAATCTTTGCCTGATGACCTTGTGCTCTCTATCCTCTGCAAGTTTAGTTCCACCGCAACTTCCCCTTCAGATTTTATTAGTGTTCTCATAACGTATGTACCCAACACAACAATTAATTACATTCTTTCTAATGTTCCCTTTTTTTTGTTTTTTTTAACGTTTGATTTTTGTGGAACTCAACAGGTGTAAAAGACTAAACGCCTTAGGTCTTAACTCTCTCGTATTATCAAAAGCTTCCCTTAAAACATTCTCAGTTAAAGCTAAAAACTGGTGTGACTCCGCTCACCGCTTCCTCAAACGATGTTCTGATGCCGGAAACATTGAAGCATGCTATACTTTGGGCATGGTAAGTGAAATTAAAAATAAAAAAATAAAAAAATAAAAAAAATGTTTTTTTTTCATGGGTAGTGAAATAAAGACTATTGGGTCTTATTATATGTGCAGATTCGGTTCTATTGTCTGCAAAACAGAGGGAGCGGCGCGTCGTTGATGGCTAAGGCAGCGATGAACTCTCACGCGCCGGCTCTGTACTCGCTGGCGGTTATACAGTTCAACGGCAGCGGAGGCACCAAAAACGATAAGGACCTTCGAGCCGGTGTGGCTCTGTGCGCACGCGCTGCGTTCCTTGGACACATCGACGCGCTGCGCGAGCTTGGTCATTGCTTGCAAGATGGTTACGGCGTTAAGCAAAACGTTACCGAGGGTCGGCGCTTCCTCGTTCAAGCAAACGCTAGAGAAATTGCCGCCGTTTTGTCCTCCGTTTACAAGAAGCGCACGCGGTTGACGTGGAGCCAACAACCGGTTCCGCACCCGAACCCGAACCCGAACCCTCAGCTCCGGTCTTTTGGCGGGTCGGGTTGTCCCTTGCTCAGCGATTTCGGTTGCAACGTGCCGGCACCGGAAGCCCACCCGGCGAGCCGGTTCATGGCGGAGTGGTTCGCGGTTCGGGGCGGTTCGGGTACGAGGCTCTGTTCGCATTCGGGTTGTGGGAGACCCGAGACGAGGAAGCACGAATTTCGAAGGTGCTCGGTTTGCGGTGCGGTGAATTACTGCTCACGCGCGTGCCAAGCGCTTGATTGGAAGTTCCGCCACAAGACGGACTGCGCCCCCGTGGAGAGGTGGCTGGATGAGGAGGGAGAAGATGGCGGCGGTGAGGGTGACGCCGTTGTAAACGGTGGCGACGGTGAGGGGGTAGTTGTGGTTGATAGTTAGATGGTTTTTTCCAAACGTTAACGGCGACGGTAACGGAAGCCTGTTTGGAAGTTTCAACGGGTATGAGTCTATTTTTTGGCATTGGGGTATGAAATATGAAAAAAGAAAATATATTATTATCTCATTTATTACTATGGCCCTAGAAAATGCAAATTCCAATGGCAATGTGGCTTCCTCTGTACCTTTTTACTTTTGTATAGAAGGTTAAATTCTCCTGAAAAACAAAATGAAGGGGATGCTTTTTGTTTTAATTTTTCTTTTTTGTTCCATAGGGCAACTATCATCCTTAGTTTTTGTTAATTCCAGTAAATTAAGATATGAACTTTTTAAGTTCATAATTTTCCTATCGATTTGGTTACGTAAATATCATTTTGGTCATGAGCACAAAAATACGGAACTCACTTAAATTCCTTTAAAAAAAATACTTATATTAATATTTTTTGTGAGACTATTAAAATAGGTTTTTTTTTTTAATTTTAGAGAAATTTTGTTGAGGATCCAAAAGGTATTTACTGTAAAATAAATCTTCTCTTATTGATTTTGATAGTTAGACATTATGAAAATCATCAAGTCATTCAAATTCAAATGTTTCGAGCTAATTTAATTTTTTATTCCTAGTTCTAACATTTGGAACAAAATGATACATTTGAGATATAATTAAATAAATATAATACTTCAATGTAGAAGGATTGATCTTAGGATTTAGGCTTTAGTTGATAAGTGCTGTGTCTCTGCATCTTATGCGGCACAATGTTAGAACTAAGGTAAATCGTCAAAGTTTACTACTCCATATTTATCAAAGATTTTTCAAGGTGATAATGATAATTGTTTTTTTTTTTTAATTCATAACTTGATAGCACCGATTCTTTGGTGGATAAATATTTTCACTCAGTTGTTAAGAGAGTGATCAAGATTCTTGTTTGGGATAGATTTAGGTGATATTCTTATTTAATTGCTTGACTGTCCAGGAAAGTGTTAACTGTAAAGTAATAGTGTGTGAATATTAATAATCTTGTTTGGAATCTTAGAATCACTTTTGTACATATAATTTGTATTCTCATCTTTACTGAATTTGAATTTTTTATAAAAAAAATTTCCCTTGTTGATATTTCATCATTTTAAGTTATCCGTACATAATTTTCTCCAGATAATATATATATATATATATATATATATATAATATCTTAGTTACCATATCTTTTGACAACTTCAAACAAAAGAAAAGCATAACAAAAGTAATCCTTATCGAACACTAAAACTAGATTTTTGAAGATTCGAAGTCTTTGAATTTGGTGTCCTCCTAGAAGATTTTCTAAAACGTATGAAGCTATTGTTTCACGCATAACACTTTCCCTTTCATATAGTTGGGACTAATTAACGTTCTGCAATTCTTGTTGCATCCTCCAAAATCTGCTTTCAACCCGCATTAATTATGCCCAGCTTATTATAGTCAAAGAGATAAGAGATATTTGGTGACTGACCAAAGAGTGATGAGAAAAATAAAAGGAAAATAGAGAGAGACATGCATCTTTTCATATACAGTGTTTGAGGCGCTATGCGGCTATTGAGATAAAAAAAAAAAAAAAATTTCGTTTTATGACAATTGAAGATTATTATGCCAAATGGAGAAAACAATAATTTAATGTTTTGAAAAGAAAGTGAATTTTGTGGTGGAGCGCACTTATTGTTTCAATGTGCTCATTATTAATATTCAGTTGCATTTAAACACTACAGATATCGGTGGGTGGTCCAGGCCCGATCTAATCAGGCCCACACTATCAGAATTCAAATTCTCAATTCTATTTCTATCCTCTTGTTTTATTTTTTCATTCAAATCTCTGATTGTAAAAGAGAGATATTGACTTGATGCTCGGAATTAGAATATATATTAAGGTGCATGTAAATTGAAATAATAGGATTTAATCCATGATAATGTGTTCTTAGGGGTGGTAGAGAAGAAATTTTTTATTATCTGAAAAAAATAATTTTCTGGAATATCATAGAATTTTTTTTTCCTGGGTAAGTTACTAAAAAGTGTTTGGTAGGTTAGATTTTTTTCTGGAATGTTGAGTTAATTTTACTGATATTGTGTGTTAATTTTTTCATCACATGGAAAAAAACAATTCCACCCTTCCAATCAATAGTGGACCTAGAAATTTTTTTTAATGTCTGCACATTTAGAATAAAAGCATAAAATATTTTTTTAAAAATATATTAAAATACAAAAGAATATATATATAAAAAAACTTTAACTTAATATAAAAAAGTAATCAAGAGTCAACTAAACTATTACAATAGAACATTGTGGGTTCTCAACAAAAATTACGGGCCTCAATTTAATCGTGATCCCTCAAAATTCAAAAATAGATCTAGATAATCAAAATTATGGTCCTCTGAAATTCAAAAAGATCCTCATTAATCCCTTAAAAGGACTAATATGGGTCTATTTTGGATTTTAAAGAGATCACGAATCAACTTTTTTTTTCAGAGATTAAATTGAATCCTGTGATTTTTGTTCATAACCCAAAATATGTATGTATATTTTTTTCTCCAAAAAATTTGTAAACATATATAGGTCTGCCACTGCTTCCAAAAGTAATCTTCCCCGACTATTTAACGTAGAAAAGTAAATAATGGGAAAAAAAATTTCAGTCATATTTTTACTTCACCTCTTATCAAATATAGGCAAATAATTTTTTCATCCCATTTTCCTAGGAATTTTTTTTTTCACCTCCTCCCGAACACCCCCTAAGTTACAACCTATTATATTGTCAAAATTTACAATGAAAAATCAAACAAAAAATTATTTCCATATTTATCTTCAGTCTTATGAGAAATATGTACAGCTAGGAAACCGAATAGACATTTTCACAACCGTGAATCGAGTAGTCTTTGTTTCATTCACAACTTCCTATCCGAATGAAGTTATTCAACTCCTTAAATAGACATGCATATCAATAAACTGAGAATAGAATAAAAAGAAAGTTAGGTTCAAAAATCAACACCATAAAGTTTATGTAATAATAATGGTGAGTGGTGACAACATTACTTGTTACGTGCTGACTACCACTATTTAATTGGTAATCTTGACGGTTTATGGGAGGGACAGAAACGAGTTTCTTTATGCCTCGGAATTAGAATGTTTTCCTTTCGTTTGAGCATCTTCAATTCTTTCTTTTTCTCTTTTATTTTCTGCTTCTTACTTTGATATCTTTGCATATATAAAGTTATTGTGATATTGATTGTCAGCATCTCACGACCTACTTTTATCTTGGTTTATTTGGGGTTCAGAATTCGAGGGAGAATAATGTAAAGGGAAATATACCATACTAACTTATTCGACCAAAAAAACAAATCCTGGCAAAAGTCTATACGATATATATCACGATATATTCTACAAACGACAATTACACAATGAACATTAAACATAGGGGTGACGAGACCACCAAATTGTTAATTCAAATATAGCTAAAGATGAATTGAGGTTATGCAAGAATTTGTGCATAAATAGATGAATTTAAGTTCATGAAAACAAGAATAAATTAAAATTTTCAACTTAAATATGCAGACATAATTTGTTTAGAAAATTGATCGGTCAAAGAGATATTGGGCCTGATGACACACTATTAAGTCTAGTCTAGTTGGAGTCTGAAGTGATTTTGTAGCGTGATTTAGTGTGATCTGGTGCGGGATGCTTCCGCATGATGGTTGCATTAGTACTTGAGACCTTTTCTTGCTGGGGACAAATGTGAGTCAGTGTAAGGCAGTCCATCGCTAAAGTTAATATTTGGTTAATGAGCTTAAGTAATAATTGAGAACATGGTCATACTTGAACTTTGTGCATTCTTTATATAATGATGGTATGATTTGTTTGTGCGGCCTTAATACGATGACATTCAATCTCATTTATGGGTTCATGTGGATTCCATACTCAAGAGGGGAGATGAAATGAGCATTACAATTTTTTTTTAAAAGCCCATTTCTAGTTTCTAAATTATCATTTCAAGCAAATTGTGATATTTGAAAAATTAATCAATTAACTCAAACAATTCAAAACTTATAATCTATTATAATTATAGAATTTATACTAGCACATACAAAGAAGCAATTAAAGTGCTATAATATAAAGAATTGAGAATTTAGAGAATTACAAACACAATATATCCTGATTCGGTCACCACCACGTGTGACCTATGTCCAGACTGAAGCCACTCGATCAACTCTTTCACTAATAGTAAAGTTTCACGAGTGCTTGACAAACCTTTATAATCTTCCAAGACTTCGGGTTCTTAGATATTTTACAATCTTCAAGTTTGCGGGTACATGACAACCTTACAATTCTCTCCAAATTTACTTGGGTATTTGTCCAGAGTACAAGAAAGAAGATGTTTGAAAATGAATATACACTCTCACAAAGTGCGAATATAAAACTTGGAGCACTATTGGTATATGAATTTTCACAATATGAGCTCAAATATGTGTGATCTTTGAAAGATATGTAAATAATAATATAGAAACTCTTAAATCTTTCTTAAGATATGTAGGAATAGTGATTAATCGATTTTAGGGTCGTGGGAAATGCATGTATAGTAAATTTACCCAAAATTAGCCGTTATAGTTGTTCTGGAGCAGAGGGAATCGATTCCCATATGTTAAAAGTTGGAAATTCGATAACAAAAATATTGTTTCATATTTTAGGCATAACTTGAGTTATTCTTGTCGGATTGATATGATCTTGGTCTTGTTGGAAACATAAGAGATAGAACACAAGATTCAAATCCATCATCTTTGATACGAAAAATTATCCGGAATACAACAGCCAAATTATGCAACAAATTTTAAGTTCGGATATGTTTTAGCTTGCTTCCAACCACTTTTTATGAAAGATCTTGATTTGATAAATATGTTTTGAAGTTATAAAACAGGTCAATGATCTTTTCCATGAGTTTTTCAAATGTCTTTCAAGTATATAAAGGTTATGGATTATGCAATTTGAAAACTACGCTTACTTTGAGAAAAACTTTGAGCTTATGCAATGCAATCTACCATATATCCTCACGTATGAGTCTAAGTCTTAAAGATATATTTTAAATATGATTTTAGACTTAGCTTCATATCTTGTGTCTTGGATCTTCACTTAAGCCTAATGATTTGACTTGTTGGATATGACAATGCTTGACATTTTATTGATTTTAATCATTTTTCACCATTGTGATATTGAGCTTCTCTTTGATGTTGTCTGTGGTTTGTTGTCTTTCATCTTGATGTTGCTCTTCTAATTTTTTCTTGTTGCTCTTGATCAATGATCTTGCCACTTTGATATGTCATTACTCTTCTTATATGACTACATCATATATTTTCAATATCCATATATAATTGATACTTTTTGCTCTTGATCTGTTCCCTTCTCTTTTTTTTTTTTTTGTTGCCATGTTATCATCAAAACATAACATGTATTTACAAATTTTGTATGCTATCTTGTTTGCGGGATACCTACTTGTGAGCAATGCTATGTAAATCTATCTAGAACCTCATGTATGTCCTCAAGTTATCGTTGTTGAGAAGGCTTAGTAACTTTTTGTTGTTGTCTAACAAGTGTGCCTATTGAGCTTACTCCATGGATGTGGGATAAACGTCCTTAAGTGTATGTGGGATAAACGTGCTTGCTTACTCCAAGTATTTTTTGTTGGGCCTATTGAGCTATTTAGTGGATTGGATCATTTATCCTGCTAAGTAGAGGGCTAGATAATATATATACATATATATATATATATATATATATATATATATATATATATATATATATATATTAAATGCGTTTGAATTGAAATATTTAAAGAAATAATAAAAAATAAAAGATAAAACACATCAAATAAAAATTAATTATGATAAATATAAGCAATGATTTTCAATATATTTATTTTTTATTCAAATAAATTATAAGTTTTTAATATTTTATGAAATTTTAATCCTTTTTATAAAAGAAATAAATTTGTTTATTATTTAATGCATACAAATGTGTGTTTTTTCGTATCCAAAAGTGTTTAATATATAGACTATCCTTTACCACGTTAACATATATAATTATTTTTCATTTAACATTTTTTAGCAAATAAGTTTATTTATCAACTGTGTTTAATTATTTTTAATAATTTTAAATTATTATAAATTAAAGAAATATTTATTAAAATAATGTATCCATTAAACAAATAATAAAATGGAACAAATTTATATAAAATATAAAATATTTCAAAATGTCTTTTACATTAAAAATTGAGTTAGTAATTATTATAGTTTTTTCTCTCCTTTTTTTTTGGTAAAAAGTTTTTTTCTCTCTTTATTAAAACATAACACATATATTTTTTTATTTGTTAAATTCAGCCATTTTTCATTAAAAAATAAAAATATAAATGTTGAAAATATTAAAATATTTTTTTTCGTGTATAAAAAAATATTATATAGGGTTTTAGCAGAAACAATATTTTAAAGTATTTCATGGATAAAATATTATTTTAAAATAATATTTTGGTGCTGTTAGCAAAAACAAAATTTGGAACTTGCAAATCTTTTTTCCTATGATATTGTGTGTGTTTGTGTTCTTTTAAAAAATTATTATGAGTATATTTATTAAGAAAAATAAATTTGAAATGACTTATATTAAAAAGGAAAACATTTATTTACATTATAGCCTTTAAAGAGGAAAATATTAATTTACATTAAAGAGGAAAAGATTAATTTACATTAAAAAATAAAATTTCATTTTGGAAAACATTAAAGAGGATATAAATTAATTTTTATTAATTTACATTATTACCTCTATTTAAAATATGTTATAAAAATCAACCTTAACAATTAATTTTTTTGTAAATTCACTAATTTTCAAATGAATTTATTTTTATTCACAACTAAAATCCGAAGAACTTTAAAATTAAATCAATTATTACTCTAGTAATTTTCAAAATGAAAAGATATATCTGTTTTTATTGTAGATTTTTTTTTCTGTTACACTCACTTAAAATTGAGTGGTTCTCACTTCTCATTATATTCTAATAACTTATGATAAAACCTACTCACTTTTATATGAGCATGAAAAAAAAAAAAATCTACAACAAAAGCAAAAATGTTAAACCTTTTTCCTTTTCAAAATACAAGTTTATTTATAAATAAAATAAGTTCTCAGGATATTTCTTTCCTTAAATACTCAAGTTATATTTGAACACGACTCTACAAATTCGTACATGCTCGTGAACCCAATTATGGTCTATTTAATAACCATCTGTATGAATTATAACTTTAAACGCCGGAAGTGAAGTTCAAAGCAGCAGTGCAAAACGGAACAAGTAAGCATTTTCTCACACTCTTCATATTTTATATATGAAATGTACTTTAGGCTACTGCTTTTTTGTATTTCATATGAGGATTTAGAAAACGGGTCAGCAAGTTTTACCCGTCTGAAGCTCTAATGAACCAACGTGATCCATTTTGGGTCTAATTGGGTCTAAACCTATACAACTCTTGGGTTTGATGAAAGGAAGTTATAAACCAAACCAATTTTAAGATTTTATTGTGGGCGTATGTTTTTCTCCTGCAATCTGAAAAAAACATACCTTAGAATAGATATCATAAAAAACTGTGTCACTTTTATTTATTTTTCTATTATAATTATTGTGAGTTCCACATGTTTTCTTCTCTTGTAAAACAGGAAAAATTAATATCCCTTTATCTAATCGGTGTAATCGATCATTATTAGTTTTTATCAGTATTTTAATTCCTTTTGTTGTTTGTTTTGTTTTTTTTGGGAAAAGTTCACCGTATAGTTTACTCCAGAATCATTTGTATCACTGTGGTTTTTTTATCACATATGTCCTGCGGTTTGTAAAAGGATATGTTTTTTTATCTACTTTGATTTTTTATTTTATACAAACTAAAACCACAGGAGCATAAGTGATTCTGAAGCAAATCACAAGGCGTTGGTTAACTTTTCCCTTTTTTTAATATCTTACAGTGATGTTTGTTTTCACTAATGGCCGAATCAAAAAAATAGTGTTTAGGATTTAATATCTCCCTAGATCGATTTTCATTTTTCATGATTATTGGTTTGTAACTGATTAAAGTTTAAAATTTTGATTTGCATTATTATGGGGAATATGAAAGAGAAGAGAAGAGAAGATGGCATTCATCATGGAATTCGCTCAGCACATGGTTCTGAAGATAATGGAAGATCCAGAGGAAAGGGATCGCAAATCCAGAGCACACACTTATCAGACTTGGAAAGCAGGCAAAGTGTACGCAAAGACCATAAACAACTCCATTCCTATGCGACCATACGGCTTCTGGACATTTGAACGCCACAATTCTCAGCTTGCATGGGATCGTCAGATTAGCAATGTGCCTGGTCGGAGGGACCCATACGATGAGCTTCTAGAACACTATGGCATTGGCATATCTAAATGACCCTTTTTTTTTTCTTCAACCCAAATTCCCCAGAAGCAGCAAACTACATGAATAAATATCTGAATGGGAGCAATATCAAACTTTTAAATGTTTCATTTTGTTATTTCCTCTAAAATTTACTGCAGTCGTTAGTTGCAGTTTGAATAATATATTAGTCCTCAAGACTGAAGTTTATCATTATAAATGTCCTCTGATTGAACATTGTGCTGGTATCCTATAACATTATGTTAACTTTTGTGGGTTATGTAACACTTGGTTAACCAATGAATTTGTCCATGTAGGTCAAAGGGTATTTTTATAAAATTTAATTTTTTAAAAATTAAAATATATTAATAAAATTAAAAATTTAAAAAAATAAAAAAAATATTTAATATTATTTAATATTAAAATGTGTTTTAAACATCAAAATCTATTTATTTATTTTTTAAATAAACATGTTAAATATCTAGACGGTGATAGGTGTCCATCCTACATAGATTATGGGTTCGTTTATAAAAGAAATTAAATTCAAGAGTCTACGATAAATAATGTACTTATGAGTAAAGGTGGCAAAGTGACAAAAAATGGATCAGTCCGCCCAGTTTTATTTTTGACAAAACGGGACGAGTTGACCTGCCAAGCCGAACCCATTTTGCTTATGAGGCCTATGTCCACCGCCAATTCCCCTAAAAAAAAAACTTGCAATCTTTTTATAAGCTTTAAAAGTAGGAAACAAACTTCATGACCATTTACCACACCATTTACATAATCACTGTTTTCTACATACTTAGATTAGTTACACGGTCTTACAAACTTCAAATATTTTTCTAGTCACAATCATATTACCCAAACAAAGTCTCAACACAAAGCAAGGTCACTCAAGCAAATTTTATAAAGAAGTATAATTCAACTTAATCAGAATGGGATGATGATTTTGATCTCTGTTCAGCAGTAGCAGCTTCATCTCCTTTCAAGTTGGCTTCTCCCTGCTTAAATGCCTTAGCTATCTCGTCAATGGGAATCAAAGGTAAATACCCAAAGCCACTATAACCCTTTTCAGTCATGACCTTAATCACATGGTTGTACTTCTCTGACCAGTGAGCAACAGTGGGAACTGCCATCTCTGCCACTGCATGGAATGGTGGATAGTGGTTGAGCCCAGTCCATAACTTCACTGAATTAAATAGCAGAAAGTTCTTTGACTCTGCAGCAACGTAATGTACAGCTGCTCGTGGTCCTCTAGATTGAGCCTCATTTACAACTTTCTCTGCCTCGAGAGTCACTTTTTGAATCAAACCCTTAGCTTGGCCGGCAAGGTGCTTAGCAAAAGGAGGAGCATGCTCATCGAACTTATGAGTAGCTTCATCCACCTGCCCAAATCATATACTAGTTAGTCTACCCACAAATCGCTTAACAATGCCCCCAATTCATTCAAACATTAACATTGAATTCCACTCACACAGGGTACAAGGGCACTTAATTAAGGAGCTGCATCTAACAAAAGAATCAAGCGTCATTTCAAGGCAATAAAAACAGCAATTTCTTTTCTTTCTTTCTTTTTGAAATATTTCAATGGGTTCATCGTTTCGCAACTAGTCCGATTCGAGACAGGTCCAAGATTAAGGTTTAAAAGCAATCCCAAAGTAAAATTGGGAGGATCAAAACAGCAATTTCTGTATATTCATTTGGCACGCCAATGAATCAAGGAAGCTCCACCTTACAAAGAGTTAAACCTTCTCAGCACCATCAAATCATTGTCCAACCATAAGAACTTATTAATTTCAAATTAAGCTATTGCTATAAACTGCGATATCAACATAAAGTTTTTTAAGTTTTGTAAGGAAATAATCACCCACAAATATAAGAATATATAATATTCTTTTTATCTTCAAGCATCAACCAACCACTTCCGTAGTTATATAAGAAATAGATCTTGATCTGAGTGTTAAATACAAGGACGGACATAAAAAAGTAGCAAGACAATTCATGATTACAAGCTGAGGATGAATCATTAACAAGCTTTTCCCAATTTTGCCATGACCCTCAAAATCAGATCCAAGGGAAAGGTTTACAAAACCATACGAATAAAGCATCGATTTTCATCAAAACGAAAGGACGTAGAAGTAGTAGAGAGACAGAGGGAAAGAGGTAAATACCTTTTCGTCAGCAAAAAACAGGACATCATCGGGGACGCCCTTCAATTTGTTGTAGACAGGACCAATAACGGTGGTTACAGTACCCTCCACCGTTCCAACAGCGGATCTCAAAGGCCCCGAGTTCTGCTTCGCATATTCATACAGATATGAGACAAATACAAAAGTTTCAATGGCAGCAATCCTCACAAAGCCCAGGTGCTTTAGCTCTTTGTTCTTACTCTCAGCCTTGACTTCGATCTGCAGACACCAAGAAGAATCACAAATTGCTATAGTTCAATAATTACTATCTTTATCATAAAAATAAAGAAAGATCTCAGATTAAGAAGAGCCAAAAATAAAATTATGCTAACCAACCTCTTCGGTGGCCATTGCTTTGCTCGTTACTAAAATGTAAGCAGTTGAGAATTTTCAATTATGTTTTACAACAGCAAGACGGAAGAGGAATTAATAAAACACAAAAAAAAAAAAAACTTAAAAACTTCGAAGGCCCACAGAATGGACTGAAACCACGATATGGGATTGGAGAGACAATATTTAACGTTTGTTGGTCGGGTCGTGATAGGCTTTATTTATGAGGTCACGGCACAGGACAGCTTATATTTTCATCTTAATCTCTCATCCATCGGCACAATAATACGAATCCAAAACACACGTCTCTGTGTTCGTCAAGGTAGGGTTGGGGACCACATTCAGACCGACTCCTAGGGATCTTTCTAGGCCAAACTAGCTATTTCCAGAAGCCACGTGGCAGTTTCTCACATGAATTTTGAGAACCTTCTTCGGAGTTGAGCGACGTATATCGTTGCCGTAAGTATTGAACTTTGGGGAGAGAAATACTTTAATCATTGTGGTCCCCAGCAGGAAACTATATTTATGTAAGGATTCGCGAACCTGTGGACGGACGGAGTTGTGTCTAAGCAAAGAAAATTTTGCGTTTATTTTCGTAATAAATAAATAAATAATTGAAAATTTATTTAAAAAGAAATAAAAATTAATAGCAACTTATAAAATAAAAATCCAAAAAGACATATTTTTGAATATACCAGTAATTTTAAACTTGAATAATTTAAAAAAAATAAATAAAGAATTAAAATTATATACAGATATCATTTATCATTCCTAATAAGAAAATAAACTAAATATTAAACAAATATTAAGAAAGTATACTTTATTTTAATACATGGAAAAGAATATTTATAGAACCAAGTATTTATAAAATTATAACAAAAATTAAATATCATTTACAATTTCTGATGTGAAATAAGATTACAGGACAAGTGATGTAACAGAGAATAATTATCAGCACGCAAATTGTAACTTTTTTCCTGATGCTTCAACTTTTTTCTTGGCTTCCTAAGATTCCAATGGAATTAATTTTTCTAGATAGAGACAATTAATATTTGCTAAAAACTATATTCTGGCAAATCGCGTGCCCACATAATGAAGTGGAAGATGAGGTAGATACAACGACTCAAAAAAGCTGAGGCGGTGGGCCCACTTTGATCAATTAAAAATTGTAAAAAAAGAAAATAAAAGCCATCAAGTAGTAATTGGAATACTTGGCGTGAGCCAATTTAAAAATACAAGTCGCCAGGAAAGCAGACCACAGAGATATCTACCAAGTGCATGGTCCCTGCTGTGGGCTTTACCAAGTGTTTATAACGTACGCTATATGATAGTGTTTAACGCGTATAGAAGTCAGATTATGTTTATTATTAGCCACAAATACTGAGGGATCCGAAATTCAGGTTCACAGAGCCTGGGATCTCTGACGCTTCACATTTTGATGAATAGGCTCCTTTACCTGCAAAGGAAAGAATGAAAAGAGTCGAAAAATGCTCTCAGACAGCAGACATGTCCAAATTACACGAAAACTTTTTTTTTTGTCTTTTGGTAAATACACGAAGACTTTTTTCAACATAGAAGAAAATATAATGACCCTGTAAGGAGCAAGGAAGCCATAGTATACCGCGCTTGTTTTCCTTGGTCGCTTGTCTTGGGAGGACCTACTGCAGATAATTGTCTCAGCTTCGTCTCCTTGATTTGCAATGACTCTGCCGTTCTCTTTGCCTGGCGCAAAACTCTCTCTTGAATCAACTGGCTGGACAATTATAGAATAAGTTATCAGTTATATGTAAACATTCAAAAATGGGGGACCAACGCTTTGAATCCTAGAAACTGAAACTTAATATATATGACTTGCCTCAACCCTGCTTGTGGGGGTATTCCCGGGCTCTTTTGCCGTTAACATTTTCTGTCCACTCCTGGAGTCAGTATAATTTATATCGGATGTGACTTTCATTCGTGTTAAATCTGATCCGATGGAGTGGAGAACACCACATGTGGACACGTCGTAGTTGCTTCCTGATTACCGAGAAAGCATGACAGTTTTTAAGTTGACTAACCAGTAAGGTAGTTGCCAGGTTACAAGATTATAACGGCCGTAATCCATTACCATCTATGCGGTATCCAGTTTGTTTGGACTTGTTATTTGGTTCACAGTAATCAACATCCTGTAAAATTTAAAACTTGTCATATAAATATACATTAAATTAATGGTGATATAAACTCCAAATAGTCGGCAGTTATTACCATAGCTTCAGTGGCACTTAGAGCTTTCTGTACTTCAATGAATTTTCTCTCAGTCAACTCAGAATGGATCACACGTTTCCCTGACGTACCGCAGAAATAAAATGCAACCAGGTAAAAAAAACAGAAAAAAGAGAAGAGATGAATTATTCTGTGATTGTTAATTTCATACCTAATCTTTTGCTGCCTTTGGGTTCAACAAACCCATCCCGAGTCATTTTATCAATTATCTTTCGTGCTGCTGTCTGGTTTACTTCACCCTCAAGCAAGCTTTGAAGCTTTGTGACTGACACATATGTCATCGGAAGAGTATGATAGAGAGCCTGAGATATTTACACCTAAGTTAGGATATATTATAGCAGAAAGTACTTTTAAGATATGTTATATTGTTATATAACCAAATAACTCTTATCATGGGGCAACAATTTAAGAGAACCGTGATCATATTTCATTTTCATGTAGTGTACAGACTATACAACATACTCCATCCTCTCACTCTTCAGATGATGCAGGGTGTTTTGAAAGATAAGAGACAACTTGTAATATACAAAAATTATTATAATAAGATACTAAATATTAGCACAATTTATTGATTCTATTCATCCTCTAGCCCCAGCTCAAATCGGTATTACGAGACCAAGAAACAATTTTATAATCTTGAGTATTAGTTGCGACTAAACGTTACAAAGATTACAAGCCAGAAAAGATCTTCATAGATATCAAATAAAAGAAAAAAGAGGAAAAATGAAAACTCACTTTCATGTACATACGATCTTCAACCTGCAAAGCTCTGTCAAAGACTTGAGGAATTTGACCATCAACCTCTTCTTTCACAATGGTGAACTCATATTCAGATTTCTGAAATTGCAATTTCGTCAGAAATATAAAGAAGGGGAAGAAGAAGAAGAAGAAAGGGAAAGGACTACTAAAACCAAAGAAAGGGTTAAGGTCAATTGAGAGAAAAATCAACCTTGTTAATGGCGTAGGTGTCGTTCCCGGCTTTTGATAGCACACCTTCCTTAATAAGCTTGTCCATGATCTCTGAAGAACAAATCAAAATCAAGCAACAGAGTTTACAAAGGGATGAAGTCTGCAGCTCAGCTTGAACAAGATAATTAACCTTATACCTTCAGTTAAAACCTGCAAGTAAAACAATTCAACTGAAATTAAAATTGCAGTTAGATCATAATCTAAGAAAGGCCAAGCAAAAGCATCATCTGAACAGCAGTGTTATAATAATCAGGAGAAAAAAAGTAGGTACCACTGAGATGTCTGGAAAATTTGATAGAACGTCAGTAAGCTCAATGGTGTTAAGGTGGCAACAGTTGATCCACTCCTTGACTCGGGCCAGTTGTTGCTCATCTTCCACAGGGTCCTGGGTATTGTCTGAACATAATATAGATCATTAAAAATTCTGAGTTACCACCTAGTACTTGAATTAACAACTATACAGAAATAGAAAAAAAAAGTGGTGGAGCCAAAAAAATAATACTGAAAACTGCATTCGTCTAGGTTAAGTTTATCAGATACACACATCCACGTATCCACGTAGACACACAATTTTCTCCAACAAAGTAAAAAGACTCAGATTACCTTCATCAATCATGCCATTATCTTCCTGTGCTTGCTGTTTTTCTGTCATTATTTACTTATTAATAGAGAATAGTGGAGAAAATGAAGTAAATTGTTCAGCATAAGAAGAGTGATCCTAATTACCTATTGGAGCAACTATATATTGATCCCCTTGAGAATGATCAACCTGAGTTGTAAAATGTCAAATTTTAGTAACACAATTACTTTAATGGCTCATGTCAGTCATTTTCAATCACAGAAATCTTAATAGCAATGGCTTTGTCAAGCAACATCTCCATTTACCTCACTGTCAGTATCATAATACTCATTCTTTTGCATCGAATCATCACCAGCGCTCATATCATCCTGGATTCCCTCGTTATCATCCTCACAAGGGTCTAGCACACTCTTCACCTATATAATGAAAGAAGAAATTATTGGCAAAACATTGGAAATAGATTTAAAACTTACCTGTGAACATAATATCCTCCCATTACCTTCAGAGATAATACAAAATGCTTGCTGTTTACATTCCCGACCTCCATTTTCAATGGATTTTTCGCCCATGGATGACAAGCTTCTTCTTCTGGGCAGCTCCTGAAGAAAGGAGGCTCATAATCAGCTGGCTGCAGGAAAAGAAAATTAAATTGTGAAATCTCCCTGTATATATCTCAGCGCTGTGGCATGACAGAATGTTAAAATATTCACCATTTGCATAACAAATCATATGGTCATTTTGTATTAACCTTTTTCAGTTAAACATCAACCTAGTTGAAAACGCATTTCAAGTCTAGACAAGTCAGCAATTCACAAAACTGCTAGAGTTTCACAAACAGTTTATAAGGAAATGAGACTTAATTGCTATCCCATGTTAAAGAACCTACCGTCACATCATCATAGTAGAGGAGCTTCATCAGAATGGTACGCTGAGGAAAGAATAGAAGTCAGTTTTTGCAATGAATGTAGGAACTGTGAAGAGTGAATAATGTTGTGTTATCAAGCGAAGCATATGAGTTTATTTACCTCTTCTGGCATTTTCTCCAGTGTTCTCATTAACTGAACTAGAGTTCGGATCATTTTACATGCAGAACTCCTGAAGATTATATCGTATACAAATAATATTAGTTCAATTAGTGATTTATCATGATAAAACCACTTCAGATCTAAATTATATTTCCTTTTGTGACGACAACCTCATCTGTTGGGGAGTAATTTCTGCGGTCGAGTTACATTTGAAGGTTCCCCCCTGCTTTTTGTTTCCAGTGCGGCTGATATTCATGGAAACCTCTTGTTTCTCGGAATCCGAATAGCTAAAGGAAACTGCAGGACAAAACTACTTTTACTTATGAATCCTCCATAAATATCTCAAATTAAATTAAATTGGAATCCACATTTTACCCCTAGCATAGAGCAAGGTCATCCTAAAAGTAATAACTAGGTGGCATTCTCTGTTTGTTAAAACAATAACCCTCGTGCCGTATTCATTCAAGTACAGTTTCCAAATTCCATGATATTCTACTGACCAAAATCGCAATCAGATATGTCAAAGCCTTACATGCATATTCCTCAATCATTGGTCCGTCCACTGCTTCGCACACACAGAATAGAAGCGTCTTCAAATATTTCTTCTGTAAGGCATCGTATACACCTGTAAAAGAAATAGAATAGAACAAAATAAAACACGCGTTACGAGCAACTCAAAATCGTATCCTAGAAGTTCAGTCAGACGATAGGCTAAACGTGCCTTTCTCCATCCAATCAATCAGTCTGCGAGACTCGGCATCCAATGGGATAAGCTTTTTGATCTTCATCTCTGTCATTTCAGGCATAGTTTTAGAAGGAATTCAACAACAAGCATTAGAAGATTCAGAGAAAATAAAAATAAAAAGGAAAATGGCTGAAGCACTAAAGACAGGTTTTACCTAAAGCTGGAACAGACTTATCATTGAAATACTTCTCGGGAAATAGGCCTCTGATATAACTGATATTGAATATTGCAATTCGGAGCAGGTTCCTCGTCTGGCAAATGATATTTCAATCAGATAATGTAAATAAGGTGATTTTCAGACACTGCATTCATATTAGTAAAGCCTCTAAGATTGAAGAAACGGCTGGATGAACAATTCTCCATGTGACTCAAATTGAACTTCGTATAGCAGACAGTACAGTTTCTCAGAAATATTCAAAGCAACTAGGTACTGAAATTAAAGATCGCGAACTTCCAGTTTTAGATCTCGTCTAATCCTAATGATAATTAAGGGAGTTAAATAGTAAATTTCTGTCAAAAATGAATCAAAACATTTTTACTGAACAAAAAACTTTGGTAACTGCTTCTATCCACAAATGAAATCCTCTCAGATGTGGAATTTGATTAGATAAGAAACGTAACATCTATAGGATTTTGAAAACTAAATTTAATGAAGAAATCTAAAATCCTCTGAAAGAAATAAATGATCAAGTGGAAATGCAGCAGTGGAAAGAACAAAGAAAACTCGAACGAAAAAAAGTAAAAAACTCAGATCCCTACGATTTCAGGAAAAATCAGATTAAAACGTGTAATATATGAAATGTAAATGAAGCTAAACGGTAGTTTAGCACCAGAAGAAGTGAATCCTGCTCGGTGATTTCAGCTTCCTTGACTTTCTGTGCAACCACCTGAAAGAACGAAACGGAAAATTGAGAAGCAATCGAAGAGAGAGTAAGAAGAGGAAGAGGGAGGAATAGAAGATACGAAGAGCCTTCTGGTCTCACCATGGTAGCTGAATTCGAGAGTCACAAACTCACAGCGAGAAAATAGTGCAGAGAACTAAAGAGTGTTTAGTTTGTTATAAAATTTTAAATCAGAGGAATGTGGCGGGAGGAGATGAAAGTTGAAAGCCAATGAGTGATATTTGTAGGCCGAATCTGATGTAGCTAGGGACCTAGGGGCCACGATGCAACGCCACGCAAGTTGGCGCTGCCTTTAGTGTGTTGAAAAACTTGAAAGTTCGTTCAGGTGCCGTTATTTTGAAAGAATACTATTGCATTTGAATAATTCTTTATTATGATCACGCAAGTTTGGTGAGTGAATTAGCGCCAAGAGAAAAATAGATAAATTGTGGGCTCCACTCTTAAGTGTTTGTTAGGCGTCGAGTTTCATGCAAACGGTAGCGTCCTTCATTCCTTCTCACAATTTGACTACGGACTCCTTCCCGTGACAATGCAGCAGTTATACAGGCATGGATTCATTCAACTCAACCCCGAATTCAGCCTTATAACAAAATTAGAACATTTTGTCAATCTCTAATCCTCTAGGGGGTGTTTGGTTCAAGTTTTTGGAGAGGATTACCGGTAATCCTTCTTTGGTAAATGTAATTACCACGTTTGGTAGAAGGAATAAATTACGATTCCCGGATATCCAAGGATTACCGGTAATTTGATTTATAAAGAAAAGTCACTATTCAGATTACCAAAAATAATATGGTAATTCAGAATACCAATCAGAATACCAAGTAAAGGGAAAGCACAACAATAAATTTTGAGACAAAAATACCCCAATACACATAAAAATCTAGACTCAATCTATCAATTACAAAAGTAAAAATAGTTTGGGGTTATTTTTGTAAAATAACCTCATATTCCAAGTCATATTTCGTTCTAAACCAAATATGGAATCAGTAATTTTTACCCAATATTCCCGGTAATATTTTGGCGAACCAAACACATCTTTCGTAAGATTCCAAGTAAACTTACTGAATTCCCATTAATCATGATTCTCGATCATCAAAAAATAAATTTCTCATGTACCAAACACACCCTTAATGTATATTACAAGTTGCTAGGACGACCAGAAATTGAACAGTTGTTGACATAGCTCAAACGTAGATTCGGGAATAGCTCAATCGTAGATTCGGGATTCGAGAAGTGAAATCCTAAGGGCCGTTTGGTACACAAATTTTTTCTGAATTTCCAAGAAACTGAATTTTTTTAAATTTTAAATTTTCAGATATTATCGTAAACTGAATGTAAATTTTTGAAAATCGAGATTCTTGGACAAATAAAAATTTCTCCTGTACCAAACGCCTCCTGATATTATTATAATTAATCAAGTGCAGATGCATCAATAGTTATAGTTATGTACGATTCGTCCTCAATTAATTAGATACTAAAAGGAAGCCCAATCTGATCACGACAGAGAATAGCACAAGGAGAACCCATGGGCATTGAGAGGAAAATAGATATTTGAAATTAAATAATTGGGAAATTTTTATTACCATGATATAACCAACCAAGCATCCACACTATTCATCGTGTATAAACGGTTTCTACCAGCGACAAATGCTTACACTCATATCTTCCCCTTCCTTTTTTGGTTCAACGTATAACAATACAACTTCCGCAACAAAGAGAATGCCATTGTTAATGTCATAATCTAAGAATGTTATAACATACAAAAGTTCTCTCCTTTCCTCTATTGTATAACTCACAATTCATTCCGATAAGAAATCTCTTCTATTTGTATTTAGAGGATGCACAGCTGCAGCAATTTTCTCCCGGAGGTTGAATTTCCTTGCAATCAGTGGCCGGACATCATCAACTCCAACCAAGCTCTCCAAGAATGGAAGTAATAAAAGCAATTCTTGATCTGAAGAATCATCAAACCAACTCTCAATCGGAATTCCATTATCCACTTGGAACCCAAATGCCTGTGACCATAAAAATTTAACAGCAGAAAAAGTATTAGGTAACAATAAAACACAGTATTTTTCATGAACTATGTTCATACCTTTTCTGAAGGAAAAAAAAAAAAGAGCCAAATATAAAATCCGTACAAGTCATAACATAATTTTATTCTATACTAAAGGATATCTACTACCTATAGATAAAAAAGTGTTTAAAAAAGAGAGTAAACGGTCCAGTTGCTTCAGCTAGATTACACAGAGGCCTACAAAATATTACGAGGGCTTCCATGCAACTACAAGGGATAACACGGTACAATTGTCATCCATAACGAGTGCGATAATAATCTCAAAGACAATAGAATGTATAACCATACCTGTGGGGAGTTGTCAATAATTATAACATGTGCCAGATCACGACCAAGCACTGTTAAATCTTTGAGGTAATTCCCCTCCACATAAACACAGGATTCACGGTATACACGGTGGCGAAATATCTTCCGCTTTGGATCAAGCACATTTAGAAGTTGCTCAGCGTAAATACTTTGACTAGCTGTAAATATAATAATCTCAAAAAGACCAGAAACTCTCTCGAGGAAATCTTTGAGGTGAGGACGGCATCGTACATAGACAACGTGCTCCTCACAATTAAAATTAACAGGAAAACTGAAGTCTACATCCTCACAAGGTTCTAGGGTAGAATGCACCAAAGTTTCTGCAAACAGTTTAAAAAAAATGCAAAGTATAAAATGATCAGTTCAACCAAAAGCTTTGCCCAATAGTTATTTGGGTAACAGAAATGGAAAATAAGAATGTGCTTAGCTAATATAATAATTAAACAACTATGAAGTTTAGAAGCGCTTTACAGGGAGGAAGAACAAAAGCATTTTTTTCACTATAAAAAGCATGTTTTTCACTATAAAAAGCATGTTTTAACCTCCAGCAAGCATTCTCAGACAGTAGGATAACTTCAGTATATAAGACCACTTTAATTAAGGGCAGCCCAACCATGAACAGAAAGGTTGTTTTCAAGACTAGAACCCACGACCACCAAGTCACAAGGCAGCAACCTTAAGATTTACACCAAAGTTCACCCCCACATAACCATTTTAATAAGTTCGTAAAATTATATTTACTGATACATGATCATGATGACATTAAATTAAAGCATCTGATTAGCAACATCAAAAGAAATTGAATAACAGTATGCGTGGGGCAAGAGCATAGCCACCATAATAAAATGTCAATAAGTAAAATTATTAAAAAAAAACGTCTAGCAAAGTAGCAATAAATAAGACCTCAAAAGAGGGGAAAAGGACATGGAATGCAGGAAGTCAAAACAGACATGAATACGATGCTAGCATCAGTTCTGTGGCAGCAGAAAGAGCACCCATATATATAAATAACCCACCCCCACCCTAAAAAAAATGCTTTTGTTCCTTATCAGTTAGGCAAGCAATTTAAATTTGACATATATGATTTTCTTACCGTCCAAGTCCAGCACAAGAGTAGTAGGAGGGCAGCTCCGTGTCTGCTTAGGTAGCAACAATCGTCTAAAAGTTGGAACCACCGTTGACAAGTCTGGTAAGGTCTTTATGAATAAGTAAGGGTCGAATTCATCAAATTCCTCAAATTCATCATCATTTTGGCATATATCAGAAGACATAGAATCCTGACCAAGCTCATCGACACATTCAAGCTTTGAGTTTTTCATGGTAAGATAAATGGCAGAAACTTCCAAGGAAAGACCATTTCCATCAAAATCAGAATTGCAACCATTCACATTTTGTGTGCCTAAAGCAACCATCTCATCACCGCATTTCTGTGTCTTGGAGTAATTGGATGAGTTGTTTGTGTCGATTTCCATTGCAGTGTCAGATTCTTGACTAACATGACCATCTACTGTATCCTCCTGTAGTGACTCTATTTTTTGGTCCTCATTCTGAAAAATTTTGACACAATCAACTAGAGAGAAACAAAAGAAAAAGATTAAAATTAACAATGAAAAACTTTAAAATATCACATTGAAATTAGTAAGAATACAAGGACAACCAAAAAAGTAATTCAAAGTCAAGAATTGCAAAAACAATGTTACGTCATTTACCTCCGGAACCTTTGGATAAGTGAAACCCAGGAGAAAATATAGTTCCAGACTCCAGATGTACAGCTTGTTTGTTACAACCCTGAAGCAATATTTCAAAAAAAAAATGGATGAGAACATCCAGTATTTCAAAACATTTCAATTTTCATTAACATTTTATATTTAACATGCTCAGCTTATGTGAGAAACTTCTTAAAATTACTACATTCAAGAGATGGAGAGACAGTTACTTTGCCAAATGAGGTTGAGTCCTTATGCAGTTGAAGTCTATAAGATTCATAAAACAGCTTTCAAGCAAAAGAGAACTTATGCACTAGCATTCATGCACACCCACACACACACAAAAAGAAAATGCTGAACTAACACAAGTAGAAGGATGTCTAGTTAAATTACCAAATAATCCACTGAAGCACCATCACCTGCATCATTTCCCAAACAAGTATTGGAAGTTCCGTTGTCCACAAAGTCATAACCATTACTAAAATCCGGTGAGGGTGTTGGCTCCCCAGCTTTATTCTCAAGAGTGCTAACTGAAGTTGTAGCAAGAAGATGACAAGTAAAACCAGTTAATTAGTATTATTTTCTTATTGCTGAAAGACATTGTTTTGGACATAATATATGCACACTGGAAACTTTCAAAATGAAAAATAAAAAAAGAAAAGTTAGGGTCATCTGAAGGAGCAACCTGGTTATGAGTCATACACGTCAGAAATTAGAATAAGGAAAAATTTAGAGATATACTACACATAAACAAAAGGCTAATTGATATAGATTATCTTAAAAACAAAACCCACTATTACTAGTAACTTACAAGATTTATTCTTTCTAGCAGATGATGTAATTAAGTCGGTAACTTTCTTTTCAATTGCTTGTCCATTTTCACAGACCTTCTTCTGTGCTCTTGAAACCCTACGACTACCACACTCTTGACTGGCATTTCGCCTGGAGGCTTTTTTCTTAGTTTGCATGTCCACTTTGAGAAGTATGTCTCAAGACCTGGTTGACTTTTGTCAAAGTAATCGAAGCAGCAAAAAACAGTTCCAGAACAACTACCCTGGAAGGAAACATTCAGGAACAGATAATCAAGGATCCTTGCCAATTGGAGATACCCAAGTAATAACTGAGAAGCTAGCCTTTTAGACGAATATCCAAAGCGCAATGTAAGAAAATGATCACAATGGGGACTCACTACATTAAGCAATGCTTTTAGTTTGATGTTCTTTTGCTAGCCTTAACTCAAAAGGCGGGAGGCATTTTTATAATGGATTAATTAAAGTTTTTAAGTTCTATTTTTTAAAATCAAATCCCGAACTACTGTAATTGCACAAGGATCATAATCCATGTCACTAATATCAGAAAGAATAAAACCAGGAAAAAAAAAAGAACAACCATGGTCAAACTCAAAATTTGTTCCAAAAAAACAAAATATAATTCTAACAGCTATTCATACATAATTACATTGGGCAAATTATTAACGAATTAGTCACTCCATCATCACACGAGCCTATCGAATCAACCTAACTCTATATACCCTGCATCGGAGTATCTCAAAATAAACAAGCTGAAACTCAGAAAATCCCAAAGCACGACAAAACAACCATCCAGCACCAATTGCCATATAAGTATCCAAAATTTGAGCACCAAACAGAACGAGGAACAGCTGAAACCCAACCTTCACATTGAAATCACACAAAAACCCTAAAAACACAATAGAGCCAAAAACAGAACATCCATAAGACACAAACATAAGCTAAACGAACAAGCTCCAGCTCAAATCATAGATACCTGACATGGAAATCAAAAGCGATAAGTTCTCACAGCAAGCATTGCATTCGCACTGGCTTTTCCTTTTAAACAGGAAATGAAATCAAAAGAACAAAAGGAACAAGTAAATCACTGTGGAATCGGCTCTGAGAAAATAAGCTGAAGGAACACAGACTAAAACCCTAGATTTGTTTACTAGTTGAAGGAGTAGCTGTATTCTTTCAATTCCGAGAAAATTTTGGAAGTTTTCCCTCCCATAAGAGAGTGAGAGGGAAAATACGGAAGGATGGAAAATTATTTTAATCGGAACAAAGGGACGAGTCGATAAATAATAATGTAGACTGCGATTTATTATATAATATTAAAAATTATTTAATATTGTCCACCGATATTTGGAATGCTTCTTCTCACACGTTTGAAACGTACACGCGAGGGTGTTTGTGGGTTCCTACACGCTTATGTGGATGGGCACGTGTCTTGATCATCGTCGTGTTTTGGCCGTTGTTGAGGAGTGAGATTCACGGGTCTTAGTAATGACTCTCCTCACTTGTGTTGTGTGATTTTAAATTTCAAAACCAGATTCGATTCTACCTCTTACCATCGAACTTTCCTTAATTTACTTGTTAATGCCCTCCACTTTCCTGAATTTTCTGATTAAGGCCTTAATTAATGGACATTGTCAAAGTGTATTTCCAAAGCAATTAGAAATTCAGACAGACTTTCAGTCATTAAAGTATTGAACTATGGAGAAGGATGCACTTACCACCAAAAAAGTTTACAACTCTTACAATTAATTTAATCACAGTTGATTTTCATCAATCTAACGGTTATAATTTATTAGGAATTAATAAATGTGACATAATAAATATTATTAATTTTCAATAAATTATAACCGTTAGATTACAGAAATCAACGGTGATTAAATAGGTTGTAAGAGTTGTAAACTTTTTTGGTGGTAAGTGGATCTGTTCCCTTTAACTATCGAGTGTGTTTTCTTTTTTCATTAAATTAATGAATTACCCGTGCAATGTGTGGAAAATAAATTGAAATTATTGTCGTCTGTTATTGGTTAATCATCATACGGGTAAATCAACACTTTCATCTTGCTATGAAGCTATTAATAGTATCTTTGAAGCACCGACACTTTAAAAATTCGGACGTGTCGTGTCCGACACTTCCCGACTCTCCAATACTCGTTGCAAATACTCAAAAAAAGTTTCAAAGATTACGTTGCGTTGTATTTTGAGTTCCAACTATTAAATTTGTTAGATTACGGTTACAATATTATTGAGTTTAATATAAACATTTGGGATATATTATGTTTCTTTACAAAATTGATGAGTATTATAAGTTTAGCTTTATTTTTTGTTAAATTATTGAATACTAAATATAATATACGGTACATAAATTAAAAATATTATATAATATCAAAACGTGTCCTAACGTGTCGAAATTTAACATTTTTTAGAATTAACGTATCGGAGTGTCGTGTAGTGTCGTATCCCATGTCCCGTGTCAGTGTCGGTGCAACATAGAATAGTATAATGGTAGAGGTATAAACATGAAGGAACAAAAAACAAAAAAGCAAACATGTTACTTCAAAAATATCTAAAATAAAAAAATAATTGTCTTGCTATTTTAGGCTAATCTTAAAGTTGAAAAAGCTACAGTATTCACACTAAACTTTGTACGTATCAACCAATGTTATTAAACCCGGCAAGGTTATTGAACCGGTCGAGGCACTGGGTCACTGGTTCAACCGGTGGGTCACTGGTTCAATCGCATGACCCGGTAAGTATATATAAATCTATAATTTATATTAAAAAAACTATAAAAATACTTAAATACTTGTAAAAAATATACCAATTTTAAATATTTTAATATGAAAATAATAAATTACACGTCATTGTCCAACAAAAATCAATCAAACATATAGTATTTGTGATACCAGTGTTTCAGGTTCAGTAAACGACATCTCTAACTATAAATCAAATCCAAATTCCCTGCATATTGCATAATCAAAATAATATTAGTTTGAGGTACATAATCTATGTAAATTAATAAGCTACAAATCACTCAAATATTTCAAAAGAAAACAAACCATTTGTGTTTGAGAGTAAAAAAAAAAAGACATTAATTTATGAAAATAAATTATTATTTTTATAGATCAGGCCGGGTCATCGGTTGAACCGACTGGGTCACCAGGTTTTAGAAAAACTGGTCGGGTCGCACCGGGTCACGCCGGTTCTGTAATATGGCCGATCCAATATGAAAATCGAACCGGTTACATGACTGGTTCACCGGTTTCCGGGTCGGTCCGGTTTTTATAACATTGGTATCAACCACAAACAAAAATTCAGCAATTCAGAAGCATTAAGTATTATGCAAATCAAATATAGTTATGTACTCAATATTTCAGTCTTCGAATATAACCACCAATGAACCTTCTCATATGCATTATTATTCAATATGATCTCGTCTCATTGATTAAACTGTACACAAAATTTGCTACAAAATAAAATCAACTAATATACATGAAGAAAAAAAATGTTGTGCTGATTGTCCATTTTGTTTATATGAACTTTTATTTATCACGATATGATTGTTCATTTTATTTAGATGTTTGTTTCTGAAATATTTACAGCAGTAAATCTAATTATCTTAACCATACAAAGACAGGTTTGTTACACAGTAGATATAAGGGGGGGATACGTGTTCGCGGGTAGGGTGGGCCGGCTCTCCGGGTCGAGCCTATTTTGCTACCTCTAATTATCAACATTTTATATCAGCATATAATAGGTTTTCGTATTTATCCACACACAAAATGTTCTTATACTTGCGTCTATATTACTATGTATCTATATTTTATGTAGTTGTGACATATATATTAGATGAAGAGTTGAAAAATATTTGAGTTGGTACGTTTAATATTATAACAAACATTTAATCAATAGTACATCCAAAATTTATTTCTTTTATACCTAGGTTTATTAAATTTTAATTTTAGCACCTTTATTTTTTATTATAAATTAACTATTTTACATGTGTAATCATTTATTTTCCTTATACTTTGTTTAATCAACTTCCAATTTTTTATAATTTCAATTTTTGCTTTATACTATTTTCCCACCTATCAAGTTCAAAATTCAAATTTAAAAAGTTTGAATTTTAAATAAAAAATATTTTTTCATCGAATAGACATAAGTTTAATAATTTTCCATATAGGAAAATAGTATGAAACATGCATAGAAAGGCTATGCTCATTCTTCAAATAATAGCTTATAGTTATTCATTCAAGACATAGGAAATTGTGATAATTACACATTTACATCAAAAGAATGAAATTTTATTTTTTCTTATATATTAAATTAACATTTACATTTTTATAGTGATTCAATTTTTATATTTTATTTTTTACAAAATGATAGATGTCATTTTTCTATATTTAAAATTTAAAATAATTTGTATTAATTATACATATTTTTTAAAAAATTAATTTATTTCTGTTTGAATTTATATTTTTTAAATTGGTTATACAAATATATTTAAAATGTTTATGTTAAATATTTTTAAAAAAAATATTTGTACAGATTTTTTTCTCTTTTTGTATTATATTTTTGAAATGAATGTTTTGATTTTTTTTATAAAAAAATACATATTGGCAACTAAAATATTCACTTCTTTTAGATGACGTTGGTTTCAAGGCTAATTAAGATAAATTTAATTGTAACAGAAAAATTTGTATAGGCCTATATTATATTTTGGAATTAAAGAGCCACCAATCCCTCTTCTGGTTCATATTCTCAATATGAGCATGCAAAACATAGCTTTCCAATGCATTTTAGCATGCTTTAGAGTGTTTTAGCTCGCTCCCGAAGAATCTTAAAGGTTTGTATGAGGCATTGGACCTCCATTCTCATACTTGGGTATCTCATTGACCAACATAGCACTCTCACGACATTCATGTATAGATACACTCCAATTTTTTGTGCTATTTCTAGAAATACTTATGACTTGGGTCTTAAGTTATCCCCTTGCATATTTCTTACATCATAAGCTATCTCTTTTGCATGACTTGGAACTTAAGCATCCTTTCAACTCATCAACTCCCTATGCATTTTATAACCTTATACAACATTTGAGGTCACGCATTCTCATTCTTATATGCCAAAGAGAACACCATTAAGTTGTGTCTTAAAATGGTCATTATTCTCATTGTTATCATGTTTTAAGAACTAAAGTTACATGATATATATAGTCAAATGCATGAGAATTAGAGTTTATTAATGGAAAACAGTGAACTATTGAGATATGAACTAGATAATTGAATTTTGTTTGTTTTTTAAGGAAATTAAGTATAAATTAAAGCAAACATGAAGTTCGAAAACTTTAAGCTCAGAGTTGAAGACCATATAAGCCACAAAGTGAAAAGTGAAAGATTTTACAATATTTAAAGAAAAAGCTTAAGCCCTCTTTTAGAGAGCTTAAGCTTCCAAGTCACGCAGGAAGAGTAATTCCTTCGGTAGGAGCATGCTTAAGGGAGCTTAAGCGTCTGAATGTTAGACAAAAATGTTCGGGTAGAGAACGCTTAAGCCTCCTTGTAGGAAGCTTAAGCGCGCCACATGAAAAATTCACCAGTAAGGTGTGCGCTTAAGCGCCGTTGGAGGGGGCTTAAGCGCCCATTACGATCTAGCTAAGGCCCATTGCACTATTTATACTTATGACACATATTCTTCAATTATAAAAAGGCAAATTGAAGCAGAATTAAAGATGGACGGATCTACCTAGTAGAGAGGAAGCGTATAGTTCATGTTCTTGAGCATTAGAGACGGATCAGAATCAAATCTGCACTGAAAACCTTGAAGATTCACCACACTGTCATGGAGTTCAGGGCATATTTATTATTTTCTTTCATTCTTGATTATACTATGTTAGGCTAAGTTTTTATATTAGTTAAGGATAGATAGAACCCAATTAATCATTTAGAATGAATTCTTATGTTATTCTTCCTTTTTATTTTGAATGAAGTTATCTTTTCTTAATGCTTTTTATGAGCTTGAATCTTGTAGATTGATCTTAGGTAAGTGCATGGCAACAGGAATGTTGGTGCATGTTGCGAAAAATCAGCAAGTGCACCGATCGTACCAAGTAATAAAAAGTGAGTAGAGTATCGTTTCCACAGGGATTGGGTCGAATATCAATTAATTGTTCCT